TGTAGATGGTTGCAGAGAGTGTTTTAGTGATCTGTAAAATTAAAATTTAGTGGTTTAGTGATTGGGGCCGATCATTAGGACTTTTCAGTTGTAAATGACAGAAACTACTCCAGAATGTGTTCGTTCCAGAATAGCTGCCTTTGATTGCCGACAGGAAGTGATCTCTTTCCATTCCGTTGCTCACCTCTGCTTTCCTCCACGTTGACTTTATCTTCAGAAAGGCTCTCACCTCATAATGGCACCAGCAACTCCAGGGTTACCATTTATCAGCTGAGCAACTAAGTGGGAACTGGCCATCAAAGCCTAGCTGGACATCATAGGGTCATGTCTGATGGGCCAGGCCTGGACCGTGGACTACCTCTGGACTGAGAGTGGAAGAAAAATGATTTCCAGAATGCCCTTGCAATGTTATGAAAGTTGGGCATAGTAGCTTAGAACATAGTAGCTTAAGTTGTTAAAAGAAAGTACAACCAGAACTTTATGTTTTTTTGGTGCTGGAATTTAAGAAAACACATCTGTTACCACTGCCTGAAAAAGGAAAGGAGCAATAATGCACAGTTTGTGATTTTTTTAAAAAAAGTAGCATTACTAATTCTCTTAATTATTGCCATTTTGGAGTACTTACTGTGTGTCAGCCTCTATGTCAGTGATGGTGAACCTATGACACGGGTGTCAGAGGTGACACGCGAACTCATTTTTTTCGTTGATTTTTCTTTGTTAAATGGCATTTAAATATATAAAATAAATATCAAAAATATAAGTCTTTGTTTTACTATGGTTGCAAATATCAAAACATTTCTATATGTGACACGGCACCAGAGTTAAGTTAGGGTTTTTCAAAATGCTGACACGCTGAGCTCAAAAGGTTCGCCATCACTGCTCTATGTGAAGCACTTTACATATTTCACTTAATTCCTATGGCAGGCAGCTTTGGGGGTGGGCAGTAACACTCTCATTGTGCTGATGAAGAAATGGGAGCTCAGAGAGTTCAGGTTTGAATCCAGACTTGTCTGATGCTTCACTTCAGTTATTCTGTCTCTTAGTTTTACAGGTTTTTTTTTCAGTCTCTCTGTCTGTCTAACTCAGTGGTCGGCAAACCGCGGCTCGCGAGCCACATGTGGCTCTTTGGCCCCTTGAGTGTGACTCTTCCACAAAATACCCACGTGCGGGCACGCACATACATTGCAATTGAAACTTCGTGGCCCATGCGCAGAAGTCGGTATTTTGTGGAAGAGCCACACTCAAGGGGCCAAAGAGCCGCATGTGGCTCACGAGCCGCAGCTTGCTGAGCCGCAGTTTGCCGACCACTGGTCTAACTGTCCATCCTCTATCCCTTCAGGACAACTCCTCCTCTTCAGCATTCTCTAAGCAGGTAGCACCCCTTTTGCTTCAGGCACCCATCCAGTCCACCACCAAATCTTATCAGTTCTGCATCCTGAACATCCCTCCAATATTTGTCTCCTTTCCTCCTGTCACTGTAGCCTTCATTATGAAGAGCCTGAACTCAATATAAACTCTATTTGGCCTTCCTGCTTCCAGTCTTACTCTGTCCCACCCTGTTTTCCTTAGAGCAAGCCAGATTGAACTTTAAAAAAGCATAGACCTGAGTTTATCAACCTTTGTTTACCTACTAGTAAGTGCTTCTGACTGTACTTAGGGCAGGATCCTGGCCTGCCTTCTCAGCCTACCTTTCAAGTTCTTTCTTTCCCTGGCTTTTTTTTTTTCTCTTTCTCAATTGCATCATTTTTACATCTTACCATTTCCCTCCCTCTTACTGTGTTATTCATTCTCACACTTTATCTCTAACTCTTCTTCAAGTTTGTGTTTAAATGTCACTTCCTTAAATCATTTAGGGACTTCCCTGCCCCTCTCCCCAACCCCTTAATCTGAAAATATGAGAAGCTTTTTAAAAATGTATCTTTATTGTTGAAAGAATTACAGATTCCCCCCACCACCACCCCACTAGCCCCCTCCCCAGACCTTCACTGCACTATTGCATTCTGGTTTCATTTTTTAATTCAGGAACAAACCTATGTTTAGAGCAGCTTTATCCCAGTAGCTTTTGGTCTGCTTAGGAATAAGACATGCTTCCTTTATTTGTTACTGTTTTTAGCAATTTAGATGCTGTCCAGTAATGTTGTACTTGATTTTTAAAACTTCTTTGCCAGAGCCAGCCATAATAGATGAAAATACTAAATCTTAGGATATGTAATTTCTCCCAATTTGACCTGAGCACAGGTGGGTGGGAAAGGAAGAGAGAAGGCTCTACTGACTTGCTCTGAATGGTTCCCAGCCCAGTGACACAAAAGCTTGAACATCCTAGACCTCAGGTGTGTTCCCAGAACCCAGACATCCACATTCAGCTCTCTACACATGTCCTTAGGATTTCTGGCTACCATCTTTTCCCAAAACGGCTTTGGAAGGAGAAGCTTTCTCACCAGTGATTTATTATGTAAAGCAGTCTTCCCAACCTTTGTCATGGACATTGGCAATGTTTGTATGGCCCATTGGCATCCACAGACAAGGCCATCTGCCCCAGGTAGGAAGGGATCACTGTCTCTGCATACTTGTGGCCTTCTGATGTGCACACAGGCACACAGGTGGGGAAGATTATTCCAGGTCATACAGATACCATAACTTCTTTCTCTTTTTTTAATCCATAGTTGGTCATGTTCGGAGTTTGACCTGAATGAGATTCGCCTGATCGTTTACCAAGACTGTGAAAGGCGAGGTAGACAAGTCTTGTTTGATTCTAAAGCTGTTCACAACATTGAAGAGGTGGCAACTCAGGTATGAAATGTACTTTTGCTTTCATCTTTTTTGTTTGTGCTTCTAACAGTCCCTCTCTGATCAATCACTTATTAATTCATAATTGTCTCTTTGGGCTCTATGGTACACAGCCATTGATAGTTCAGAAGAAACATAAGAAAAGTTTCCCGACTTCCCCTCCATCTCCTGGGCTACATTTGTATTCTTTTGTTTTTTGCTTTTAATTTTCACTGAGGATATTTTCTCCACTGATTTCTAGGGCTAGTGGAAGGGGAGAGAGAGAGAGAGAAACATTGATATGAGAGAGAGACATCGATTGCCTCCTGCACCTGCCCCTACTGAGGCTGGGGAACCTGCCACCAAGGCACGTGTCCTTAACCAGGAATCAAACCCATGACCCCTTGGTCAGTGGGCTGATACTCTGTCCACTGAGCAAAACCAGCCAGGACTGCATTTGTATTCTTATTAATGCACAGATGAAACTGTTAGCAAGTAATTGTGACAGATGCCAAGCATTGTATTGTAAATATTACTAGAGGTGAATTTGCTGGTGAGTAGCAATCTAGTAGGATTTTAATACTAAATATGTGCAGCGTAAAAGGAAATCTGAGAACTCTAAAATTCATAAAGTGTTAGCCTGAAGGGAAAATAATTAGATCATTCTGTCAGTATTTCTCATAGACAGTGCTATAGAGCACTGGGCTAAACACAGTTAAATAGCTCTCCTCAGTGTGGGGCTTCAGCATGCTAACATGCCTTGTCATCTTCACTCAAAAGGGAGTGCTTTTGACCTGTCTGGCCAAAGAAGCTTTTATTTATTTCCTTTTCTCAGTGGGAGGCAGGGTGGTGGAGTTGGTGGTGAGGGGCAGAGCACGGGAGGACCTGGGGATGGGGCAAGTGAGGGCAGAGCAGCTTTGATCCCTTGGAGCCAGAACGGGAAAGGCAAAGTGATGTGTCCAGGTGAGGAGCAGAGTCTGGCCCTCCCTGAGTCTCCTGGACGTTTGTCCAGTGTACTTGCAAGTTGTCACCATTAGGCCTTTCATTCTCTTTTCAATAGTTATTCAGCTGTTTGCAAATTAAATAAATCCATTATATTCATTCTTTACTTGCACCCTATACTGACCAAATTCTGGCAGTTTACAGAATGTGTAGCTAAAGTAAATGAATAGTTTATGTCATGCTCTTTGTCTCATCAGGGCCAAGGGGCTGTTTTCCTGCTTTTGATAAGGATCCTTTCTGCAGGAAGGAAGTGTTTGGCTAAAGGCAGTTAGCTGGGTGGATTCTGTAGTGCATTAAAGTGGAAGTCTGCCAGGTAGCTAATCATTACAGTAGTTGTTGGGCTTGTTGGGTAGGTTTGAGGGATGGGTGGGGGGGAAGAATTGAAATGTCTCAGGCGATTCACCTGTAAGCTTTAATGGTGGATTTGATCAAAGTTTAGGTGAACACTTGACCCTTTGTTTGGTGGGCGGGACGTGGTTTCCCCTTGATTTCCCATATCATTTCCTGTTGCCCTGAAGACCTTGCACAGCTGGCTTAGTTGAGGGCTCCTAATGGTCATAACAGGTGGAGGAGGAAACAATTCTCACTGGATTTCAAAAAGCAACTGGAATCTTTAGTCAGAGCAGCGCTGACACTGGCATCTGGAATATAAGCATTTTTGGAAGCACTCGTTTAATCAAAAAGGCAACTAGGTCCAGGGAGGTTTGTAATGTGCCCAAGGCTACAGGAAGTTCAGTGGGCACTCTCTTCACTGTACCAGGTGCTATCTCCAATTATAGACTACTCAGAATGTTGTACCCCAGCCAAAGGCTCCAGCAGTTTGTGAGGCAGGTGTGGGCTTCGTGTCACTTTAGGTCCTCTGAGGGGCTGTGTTTCTGGCTTAAGTGGTATTAAGTAACAGCGAGGTCTGAAGAGGGTGTTGAGGGAGTGTCAGATGCTCGGGAAAACCAAGTGCAACTTTGAAAGCCACCACTGCTGGAGAGGCTGTTATGGACCAGCACAGTTTATGTTTTCCTTACATTCTTTCCCCATTTCATCCCTCCGCCCCCTTGGTAAGCACAATACCTCATGAGTTTGTATCAAGCACATGACTGCAGGCATTTGCATTAGACCGCCAGTGTGACTGTCACATTGGAGATTAGATAAGCTCCAGTTGCATTCATGGTTTTCCAAGCAAAAACTGCACATGGAAAAACAAGACTCGGAATAGCAGCAACTTACCATAGAGGGCACAGGATGCTTCTGTTGGGAGTACTATCTTTGGGTGTAGAAAGAAGGGAACATTTAATAAAGATGTATCTTTATACCTTTATGTCATAAAATTAGCAGTGAACTCTGTTTAGGGAATGTATAGCAGATAACCTTCTAGTACCTCTAACCTTTAAAGGCCAAATTTCCATCACATGCTGTGCAGCTCACAGGAGTTCCGGTTTCAGAGTTTTGGCTTCATCTTTCACAAACTCAACCTCATGATTTTCTTTCCGATTACCTTTAAAGGAGTTTTAAAGGAGATGTGTCATTAAATACACAAACCCAGTCTTTCCAAATTAATATTTTTGTTTTCTTAGTTCCATTTTGGAAAAAATTGGAATTTGAAGCAATCTCTTTCTCATTGTTTTTTTTTTAAATAAATTATGACTCTCTTTAATACTCAAAATCCTCTAATAATAAATACAGAGACCGGAGCTCATTGATGATTTTGAAACATGAATTGGAAAGTAAATAATAGTGGCATTATTTAAAGAGGATAAAGTCTTAACACATAACCCACCACCTTCTGTCCAGTTCTCTTCTCCAGCATTTTCCCTCCTAAATATTATAGATTCTCAGGACCACATTTTGTCCTCAGTAAAAAAATAAAAATAAAAGCTTCTGGTTTCTATGCACTTAGCACAACATACAGAATGTTTTAACAAAGGAGTTCCCAGTGCGGAGCGTGTTGAGGAAGCCCGTTATATTTAGCCACACTCACCTTGCCTGTCTCTCCTAACCCAGAAAACAGAGGATGTCCCTATTAAAACGTCAGCCAAGTGCTGTCAGGGAGGCAGCAGCAGCAGCAGCACCAGCAGCAGCATCTCTTCCTACAGTTCTTCTGGGGGAACCTCACAGTACGCGAAGGAGCAGCTTCCCAAGTACCAGGTACCCCATCCCTCTCATGTGGAGTGCCCCGGGGTGAAGTCATTTACTCTGATTTCTCCACAGGGAGTAATGCCTACTGGAGGGTTCCACTCCAGGAATATGAGAATCAGTGTTACAAAACGTGCTCTCTTAAATGTTTCACATCAATGCTGTTTTCATACGGTGGCTTTTATCTCCTGATAAAAACTGTGATCAAGCAGAGATAATACAACCCAATGAGGCAGAGGTAAACCCTCTGGTTTTGCTCCCTTGTTATGAGAAGCTGATTAATACACATGTGTTTCCCAGCTTTGTTATAAGAACTCTAAGGATTCTGGGAATGTACATGGGCCTTCTAAGAAAATAGCACTTGCCAGTAGAAGGGAGAAAAGAAAACCTTGAATAGGAGAAGAAAGGGCAAGATGTAACTTGAGTGTGAAGGACAGAGGGCTGGGAGCATCTTTTATGCTGGTGTGTGTGTGTGTGTGTGTGTGTGTGTGTGTGTGTGTGTGTTCTAAGTCAGTAGAGGCTAGGGATTAGGGTTATTGAGAAATATATTGGCTAACTAGATATACAAAAAGTTTTATAAATATTAAATAGCAGAGGCTGTACATTGATGGAAGGTATATCAGTTTTTTCCTTTTTGATCCATGTAAAATTTTGTCTGTCATGTTGCTGGAAGAGCAAAGCCAAGGAAATAACCGGCAGCCACACGTCTATAGAACTTTATTAATTTCCTGGTCAGGATTTGTGCCATGTATTTGCCTTTATTTCACAGTGCTCCTGGGTCTCAGAGTATAAAATATGCCCTGGCCCGGTGTGGCTCAGTTGGTTGAGCATTATCTCATGCACCGAAAGTTAACTGATTGAGAATCACACTTGGAATGTGGACCTTGTAGCCCAAGAAAAAGCAGATTATAAAAATGGAGGTCGTGTGTAGAAGTTATCAATAAAGAATATGAAAGCAAGTTGGTTTCTGTCTGTATGTAGTAAGAAGGGGTTAGTTTTAGCTGTAACCAGAGAGGAGCCTAATTAAACAAAGCTGTTAGATTTATGTTTCTCTTTCCTCCTCTGCAAACACGTACAGGTAGATGTGTATATGTGTTTGTGTGTGTATATGAGTGTACTTGCGTGTGTGTATGTATGTATGCATGTGTATATTTGTAGTTAAGAAAGAATGATTGAGAAGAGGGTATTAATATTAAGGATGACTCCCATGTCTTTGCTTGGGTGGAAAGCACACTAGCAGAGACTGTGGCTGGTGGGCTGGGTCCCAGAGAGATGGTTGTTTTGTTTTAGTTAAGCTGTGCTGGGTTATATCTGTCCTGTTCGTCAACGTGTCACCAGCATTTATACTAGGTGCTTAGAATCCTATATCCAATGCATTCACTCACATATCAGATGTTCATAATATTCAAATATATGTGAATGAATGCATTTTGGATATAGGATTCGAGAGTTCAAGGAGAGGTTTGAGCCTAGAGCTAATGATGTGGTGGATATTCCTATGTAAAGAATAATCAAAATCATAATGGTTGAGAATGCAGTAATTGAATAGGAGGGCCCTCAGGGAACAACCCTGTTCAAGGGATGATCTGGGAAAAAAGAGCTCTAAAGGAATTACCAAGAGAGACATTGAAGAAAGCAAACTGGGAAGTGTCCATTGGAATTGACAGGGAGTCACCAGTGCAGTGTGAATAGAGGAGACTGCAGTGGGCTAACAAGCAAATGAGAATGGGCAAAGTGGAGGCAGCACAGTCCACCCTTGTGGATGACAAAGGGGACAAGAAAACCGGTCAAAAGCTAGAGGCATCAAATATTCAAAGAATATTTGTGTAAAACTTCAGAGGTACCAAACCATCTGTTATCTTTTGGAACCTGACGAACCCTACCTGCACCAGTTGGCATTATTATCCAACACTGTTCATTATTTGATTGAACAACACTGAACCCTATTTCTTTCCAGGATGTGTTCTTAGTACCAAGGAAAGAGTGACCCTGTTTCCTCCATAACATAATCTTTCTATGTAGAGTTTATCAATGGAGATAATAAAAACATTTGTTTCTCATAACAAAATTAAAAATCTGATAAAACACTAGGATCCTTCTGAAGATATTGTGTAATAAGAAGAAATCATGGGCATTAGTAATAATTTGAGAAAAAATAGGCTATCATCATTAAGATCATAGAATGATCAATTGCATTGTGATAAGTAATTACCCACTAAACTAAAGAGGGACCCAGAGGTTAATGAACATTATTTCTATTGCCTTGCGTATCACATTGTGCCACACGCTAACTGATTTTGGTTTCTTTCGTGTGTGGCAGTACACAAGACCAGCTTCAGATGTCAACATGCTAGGGGAAATGATGTTTGGCTCAGTTGCAATGAGTTACAAGGGCTCCACCTTAAAGATACACTATATACGGTGAGTTTGGGCTTCTTTTTCTACTGGTTGTGAGAAGTGGTATGGTGATATTGAGTCATTAATTCCAAAATGCATTTTGTTTCCTCCCCACCCCCCGTCCCCCACCCTCCACACACAGCTCTCCTCCACAACTGATGATTAGTAAAGTCTTCTCTGCTAGAATGGGCAGCTTCTGTGGGAGCACAAATAAGTAAGTATGGAATTTTGCATATCACCTCCCCCCCCTCCCCCCCATTTTCTAGGTGGCTATTTCTGGATACAGTAATTCTTCAGGGGCCATAATGCCTTTTGAAATGAGAAGCAGGGTAAGTCCACATTAACACAGGGATCTTAAAAGTGGACATTTTCCTATACACAGTGCACATGAAAAGGCTTTTTAACTTTATCAGGTGGACTTAAAAACAAATGACCGCTTCTCTGTATCTTTTGGGTCCCTCCGGTGCCCACTATGTTCTTACTACCATCACTAAGCTTCCATACCCTAGAACAGTGGTCGGCAAACTGCGGCTCGTGAGCCACATGCGGCTCTTTGGCCCCTTGAGTGTGGCTCTTCCACAAAATACCCGACTTCTGCGCATGGGCCACGAAGTTTCAATCGCACTGTACGTGTGCACCCGCACGTGGTATTTTGTGGAAGAGTCACACTCAAGGGGCCAAAGAGCCGCATGTGGCTCACCAGCTGCAGTTTGCCGACCACTGGTCTAGAAAATGAACAGCAAAGGGGGAAAAAAGAGGAATCACATTAATGAGTTTATGGAACTTACCAGTCTTTTTGTCCTTTAAAACAAACTTAAAAACGTGTTTGTTCGTGTGTTTATTTGTTTAAGGAACAAAGTGCACAGAGAGTCTTTCCAGGCTGCCGAGGACCTGTTTGGCAGGACGGGTTGTCCATGCTTGCATCTAATCAGCTGTCAGTGTGGCCTCTGTGCTCGGCTGGTTCTTGGGCCGTGCAGTTTTCTGATTTTCACTCAAGAGTTTTTTCTTTCTCTAATAATGTACTTCTGTGTAGATGAAAAATACTGAAATAGCTAACTTAACTCTTATTCTGGTACATTTGTTCATATATTTTGAATTTTGCTAGCAGGCATATTTTATATACTTTTAAAATATAAACACTTGTTATACTTTGGTACATTTGAAAGAAAGGTTAGTTATAAATCACAGGGGCATCCTTATGAGTCAAATGAAGGCTGTTATCCTGGGAAATTAAAAATATATTCCTTTGTAGATTTGAGTACCATCGTGTAAATCTGCTTACTCTTCAACAAAGTAGTGGATTTATTTGTTCGAGCACTTAGCATTGGACTGTCATGACTTAGGCCAGTATGAGAAGTGATGTTTATTTCTTGTGAGAGATTCTTTTTCAGACCCTTGATATTACCTGAACATTTATTGCCTGAACTCCCTGTAGTAGAATATTGAGCTCAGATTTCACTAAAAATCACTGTGGTCTCATTATTCTGTATTATCTTCAAAATATTTATATTTATTTTACTTATTATAAATACAATGAATTATTAAAATTTGCTTCCCTCACATTTGTGTGTATTAGTAATCCTAAATTTTTAGATATTGCGAACTCAAACTTCTATAGGAATCATATCAATTTCTGTTGTATTCTCCTCCTGAAAAAAGTTGCTGAATTGCTCATTGATGTTAACTAAGAGTTCAAATTAATTTTGTTGTGAAGATATTTATAAAATTACCTTTGAAATGAATAATAACATCTCGAGTGTCAGTCACTGAAACAGAAGTTAGAAATTAATAGTAATATCCTATGTGTCAGCCACTGATCAAAATTTGTAGAGTTTGGCTCTGACCTGTGTGGCTCAGTTGGCTGGAGTATCGTCCCATACACTCAAAAGTCTTGGATTCGATTACTGGTCGGGGCACATGCCCGGATTGCAGATTAGACCCCCTAGTCGGGGTGCATATGGGAGGCAACTGATTTATGTTTCTCTCTCACATCAATGTTTCTCTCTCCCCTTCCCTTTCTCTCTCTCTCTAATGAATTTTTAAACATTTATGGAGTTTGGTATCCCATGTAATGGGAAACTGTTAGGAATGCATTGTTTGGTTTTATAGGTTGGACTGCCTCCAAAAAGCTTTTCTTTTCTTTTTCTCTAGCAAGTTCCCCTAAAGTTTATTTCACATTGGTAGATGTGAGACTATTCATTTATAAAGAAAAGTCTGAGTAATTGATAAGGTGTCTATATTTGAGATTCTCTTAGAAAGCAGCTTTATTCATCTCTTGACATTTTTCTTCTCTCTCTCCCTTCCTCCCCTCCTGGGATTTAGTTTGCAAGACAGCTTTGAATACATCAACCAAGACCCCAACTTGGGAAAGCTGAACACAAATCAGAATAATTTGGGTCCTTGTCGTACTGGAAGTAACCTAGGTAAAATCAGCCCCATAAATGGGTTCTTTCTTTCTGAATACTACTGTTGTAAGTGTGTGTTTTGCTTTATTTGAGTTTATTGTGTTGTGGTATTTTTTGTGGTTTTTTTTGCATTATCTTGAATCTGTGTTTATTTTTTGTGTATACTTTGTTTGCCCTCCTCTATGTGTTTCTGTCCCTAGGTCTGCTGCAGGCATGCAGCAGCAAGCTGCTGCAGGGGGTGGCAGAAGGAGGACCTCTCCGGCTCACCCGGAGTGCTTCTTTCTTTGCAGGTTTGTGTGGAATGCTGAGTACGGTGTGACCCACACACATATTAATAAATCCTGGGAAGGTTCCTAGAAAAAAATCCTATTTGGTACCTCTCTAGAAATCCAAGGGGCTCTTGGTGATATTCGTTTCAAATGCAGCCAAGTTCATGGTGTTTTGAAAATTCCACCAGTGAACCTCTCTTGTAAATGTCTTTGTTAAACCCTAGGGTAAGCTGATTTTGGTCTGAAATGAGCCCTTAGTGTTTCTAAGAGGATTACATTTTCTAATTTTTGTAGGCCTCTTCTGCTGCTATGAACCTTTCCCCTTTGCCATGGTATCTTTTATTCATGTGTTCACCTGCATTCGTACCTGCACGGAGTTTCTTCAAAAATCACTCTAATAAAAGCATGGAAGACATATCTCTCTCTCTCTCTCTCTCTCTCTCTCTCTCTCTCTCTCTCTCTCTCTCTCTCATTTGAGCAGTTTAAACAAAGTTTTTAGGTTCTTTACAGGTGTAATCATCTTGGTCTCTGTGGGTAGGTAAAGTCTGAGATTTAATTGGCCTTGCTAGCTAAGTCTGTTGAATGGCTGTTGTAGTCTGGCATGATTAACAAGTGTGGGAACCTTCATCACTAACATTAAAGGTTGTGTTTATGGCAAATGGTATTCTGTTCTTCTTTGTAGCCTGAAATATGCTTAAACACTATAGTTAACTGATGCCCTAATAAAACTGACACCTTCCTACCTACTTAGAGTAAGGATAACATGTTTATATACTCTCTGTAAAATTGTGAAAATAAACAGCTTCAAAAAATAGCAAGTTTATTAATCAGGCAGGGCCCTGGGTTTCAAGCTTACTATGGCAATATGTCATCTGCTCTCTAGCTCGATAAGAATGCAGTTGCAGTTTGAATCAATCTGAAGCATTCCTAGAAGTCTGTAATATTTTAGTGTTTTCTAAAATTCATGCCAGGACATGAGTTTTTCTAAGTAACTGCAGTAGTACTGTATATGGGTGTATATGGAAAAGAAGTGGAGGAAGAAATATTTGAAAATGAATATGTGGTTTCTATCTGCCAAGAGAGTGGGTTACAAACAGAGAAACATTTTTTACATTTATGAAATGGTTTTCAAGTATTTTTCTTCCTTGAGTTGCCTATAGTTATGACTGAAACTGATTTTAAAGCATTTTGAAAATACAGTGCTATTTAAATGCTACTCCTAATGAGGAAAATGGCTAAAACTATCTGCCTGAGAATGTTTGTTCGTTGTTTTAACTGCATCACTAGTTGATTATTCAGTTTTTTAGAGATGAGCATCACTCAAAAAAGTTTATATGCTACAGTAGGATAGTGAAGGCAAGTCGTTACTTGGTTCTGCTTTCTTCTTACTCTCTTTTTCTTTTTATGCATTTAATTTTGATTTCTAATTAATCTCTATATAAATTTATGCCAATCATCAATAGCAGTAGCCTATTTTGAAATTCAAACATTATTATACTCATTGAAAAAAACAACAACTTCCTTCTTTGAAGAGCCCACTAACATGGTTTCCTTTTGCCTTTATCTTAGCACATAGCACTCCAGTTGACATGCCAAGCAGAGGGCAGAATGAAGACAGGGACAGTGGCATTGCTCGATCAGGTATTTGTATTCCCTTTTATTGGTTTATTTAACAGAGTGAACTCTCACACTGGTGAAGTAGTTGGGAAAATAGAAGACTTGCCTCATCTTCTGGGGTTTTGTTTTGTTTGTTTTTTTCTTCTCCATATCCAAGATAGCCCCACATATCTGAAGATCTAGAACTTTGATGCTCAGCATCTAGGAGTGATTGCACAACATGGGCTGTTTTTTTCTATTACCCAAACGAATATGAGACTAAATATATTTTGAGAAATTTATTTTTAGAGGGAAGCTTCCTTGGGCTGATTGTATTGGGAATTTGCTTGCTGAATATTGACTGTAAAATGAGGGGAAGGAAAATATGTGTGGAAGTAACTTTACCCATGACTCAGGGAGGGCCTGCCAGCTGACGTGGTCACCCTTTCTTCTATCCTAGAGTCACTCCGTCTAGATTTTATCTCAGGCACCCTTTCTCTCCTTACTTTAAGCCTGAGCTTTCCTAATACTGGTGGTAAGATCGCTTGGTTTCTGCTTTAGGACACGATTCTGCTATTAATTTTGATTTGTGGTTCCAATCTGAGGTAGATTATCTACTGGAAAAGAAAGGTAGGAACCTGAAAATCTAGAATTTGGAGGACTTGGAGATGTGTGGGGCTTTGCCATACATTATATGTGGGCCTCTATCTTCCACTGAAGACTAGGAGCACCCTGCTGGTCTCACCAGTATATGTGCCCATTCACCAGTTAGGCCACCTGGTTGGTGCTTGGTGTGCGAGGACTGGATCCAGGTCTCAGGTGCCTTTCCTCCTGACCTTTCTCTCATTTCTGTTTCCAGCTTTGGCACTCAGTAAGAGCTTGGAGGAGTCCTTTGCTCTTTCTGTGTAGCTCCAGAGTCCTGCAACATACTTGGTACAGCTTTGCTCCCATGTTATTAGATGTACTTTGTTACTGAGTCCTGCTGTTTGGTTTATATATGTCATGTAATGTAAAGTGCACAGCATTTTATTTATGGTTAAGTAAAAATAGTTGAGTCATCTTGGTCTACTTAAACTATTTGGAATTCTTTGGCATGGGAGATCTGTCTCTTTCCCCTTGTCCATTCATTAATTCATTCATTCAGCCATTCATTTATATCATGGGCTCATAGATATGTATTTTATACTTTGGGTTATAACCCAATTCTACATTATTTACTTGCTCAAATTGTTCCAGCTTTGGCCATGGAAGCCATGGAGTGCTCTCAGTTGGCTCCTGTGTTACTTGAACATACCCACTTTGGGGTGTGTGTGTGTGTGTGTATTTTGAGCACTTCCATACTTTCTGGCACTCCCAGATGATCCAGACTTGTCTTGTATATTTCCTATTCCAGTCCTAGAATCAGCTGTTTCTCCATGGAGCCCTGTACTTTCTTTGGAGAATAGTGTTAGATTCCAAGATTTGGACACAAGATGTGCTTACTGCTACTCGAGTGTCATTTCTTATAGGTCCTCTTAGCTGAGAAGCAAAAAATAGGAGTTTATGCTGTGTATAGACATCTATAATAATAAAGGCATAATATGCTAATTAGACCAGACAGCCGAATAACCTTCCAGATGTCCTTCCAGACAACCTTCCAGACAAAGCTGGGGCTGAGAGGGCCAAGGCAAGGCGCCGTGGGCCAAGCCCAAATTTCGTGCATCAGGCCTCGAGCCCTCGGGGGATGTCCAACTGACAGCTTAGGCCCCGGGGGAGCGGGCCTAAGCCATCAGTTGGACATCCTTAGTGCTGCCTTGGAGGCGGGAGAGGCTCCCGCCACCGCCGTTCCGCTCGCCAGCTGTGAGCCTGGCTTCTGGCTGAGCAGCGCTCCCCCTGTGGGAGCGCACTGACCACCAGGGCGCAGTTCCTGCATTGAGTGGGATCGGGCTGAAACCAGCTCTCCGACATCCCCCAAGGGGGTCCCAGATTGCAAGAGGGCACAGGCCAGGCCGAGGGACCCCACAGGTGCACAATCAGGGCTGGGGAGGGATGCAGGAGGTTGGCCAGCCAGGGAGGGACTGTGGGAGGGCTCCAGGGCGTGCCCAGCTCGTTTCGCTCAGTCCTGATTGGCCAGACCCCAACAGCAAGCTAACCTACTGGTTGGAGTGTCTGCCCCCTGGTGGTCAGTGCACGTCATAGTGAGCGGTTGAGCAGCCTTAGCATATCATTAGCATATTACGCTTTGATGGTTGAACGGATGACCGGACACTTAGCATATTAGGGTTTTGTTATATAGGATATTGGTATATGTAACATCTGTATCTATAATTAAGTTAAACATGAGTCTACTGATATTTCTATTATTCATAACCCATTACCACGTGGATCATTCTGCCTTCTCCCCTTGCTTATTTGTAGACTCCCACTCCCACAGTGAGAAGCCTGGCTCTCAACACCTGCCATCCATTTAATTGTTTCACTTCGTATGCATGTATCGCAGTGTCAGCATTGTTAACTGGTAGCCTGCGGGAAACGATTTTATTATCTGGAGTACAGTGCTCATGTGCAGTTCCTTTTCTCTTTAGTCTCACACACATCCACTTATTTCCAAAGTTACTTAGCTCAGCACCTTCGAGATAGGGGAATCTTAGCAGCCATAGGTACCAGGCCAGTAGAATCTCTGAAATCACAGCTGACACTATTTCATCTTGCAAATGGCTTCCTGCATGCCACCAGAAATTCTGACTGTACAAGTCAATTCTGAAGAATAATATAAGGTGTTTTGTTTTTTTTTCTCAATAGTCTAGTAAAGAAGTAACTTTAAAAAAGCTTTTTTGTTGTTTGTTTTTTAAATCATTATTTATAGAGAGAAACTCATCCCAGGATAAAAAAGAATTTTAAAGGAGATTTTGCAATTTTCCATGCAAAAGACACCTGAGGTCCTTTGTCCTCCCATGGCAGTCCCTTCTGTAGACATCCCCTTCTGCAGGCCACCTCCAAAGGAAGGAGTGGATGGAGGAGCTTACTTTATGTGTAGCTGCAAACTTATTCTGTGTATAATATGCTCTGGGAATACAAAGGGTCACATGGGTTTAAATTCTTAAAGGGGTTTACTTTGTTGTTAGAGAACTAAATTATTTTGGTGGTTTCCACAGTAAGACCAATTTGATACAGTTGAAGTTAAGGAAAGGAATTAGAAGGATAGCACTAATTCTTGACTAGCCAACCATCAAGCCACATTTATTTATTAAACAACAATTTTGTAGCCCCCTGTGTTGTCAGGCTCTACCAGAATTTGGGATGTTTTTGAAGAAGAGTAAAAATATAGCACCAGCCCTCAGGAAGAGTTACATGAAACCAAGAGTTAAAATACAGTGTGATAAAGTAGTACCTCATGAACACTGTGGGGACAAAGAGGAAGAGGAAGGGCCTTTGCCTGGGAAGTCAGAGGGTTGCCTCAGAGGAGATGAGATATTTGAGTGACACCTTGTAGGTAGAACAGAACTGTATCAGAGTTTAGGAAAAGAGCATTTCTGAAAATAGTTTGTGCAAGGGTGTAGATCCTTGAGTGTATACTGTTAGAATGCTGGACTACAGGGCTGGGAATGTGAGGCCATGTCAGAAGGTCAGGCTGGCTATGAAGGACTAATTGGAAGGTGCCAGTGCTGTGCTAAGGAATGTGGATTTCATCTTGTTGTTGGGGCAGATAAGGGATGTAACTTGGTTGTCTGTATATTTTAGATCCATGCAGCGCTTCACAGACGCCCTCCAGAGAAGCTGGACCAATACAGTTATTGCTAAAATAGATCAATGGCGAAGGCGTTAAGGGAGATGGACAATACATAGATTTTCCCCCATTAACTTTATTTCAATATAACATCCCCAAACTTATGGGGCTTCTTGCCACTGTGTTTGTATGGTGTGTGTGTGTGTGTGTGTGTGTGTGTAACTAGTTTAAAATGGTTATCTGATTTAACATAAAATTTTGAAAATTAGTCCATTGTTGTTGTTTTCCTTTTCACCTCTTTTTTTGGGTAGTATCATAGAAAAATATACAACTTTTTTTTCCTGGGTTATCCAGTGGCTTTTTATAATAACAGAGAGGAAAGAAAATCTTAATTTTCATCTATCCTTAATGCATTTTACTCATAATTTCTCCAGTGCCTCTTAGTATAGTTTGTAACATAACAGAATAGGAAATAATGCAATAACAAGAGTATCCAACTCATTCCCCACCTTAACTAGTTAGAAAGACTTCTTTTTTGAAAGAGGCTTCAGTAAAGGAATCCTATCTAATAAAAGACAAAGAGGGTAATTAACCGTACCTCCGATACGCTTCCCATTGGCTAATCAGGGTGATATGCAAATTAACTGCCAACCAAGATGGCAGCCGGCAGCCACGCAGCTGAAGCAAACATGAGGCTTGCTTGCTTCAGTGATGGAGGAAGCCAAGCTTCCCCGCCTGCCATGGCCCAGCTCTGAGATCCGGAAGCAACAATGTTTCAATTATAGAAGCTAAACAAACCCCAGATACCTGCTTTCAGCCAGCCGGGGCCTCAGAGCTTAGAGCACCAGTGATGGCAACAGAGTTTCAATTATAGAAACTAAACAAACCCAGATACCTGCTTTCAGCAGCCGAGGCCTCAAGCTGGAGCTGCAACAGTGTTTCAATTATAGAAGCCAAACAAACCCCAGATACCTGCTTTCAGCAGCCGAGGAAAAGGAGAGGTTGGGAACGTCAGAGCTGGAGCCGGCTCTAAACGGCCCTCAGCCCCTCACTCAGACTGGCCAGGCACCCCAGTGGGGACCCCCACCCTGAAGGGGGTGCGACCAGATGCAAACAGCCATCATCCCCTCATCCAGGCTGGCCAGGCACCCAAGCGGGATCCCCACCCTGATCCGGGACACCCTTCAGGGTAAACCAGCCGGCCCCCACCCGTGCACCAGGCCTCTATCCTATATACTAAAAGGGTAATATGCAAACTGACTCTAACAGCAGAAAGACTGGGAATGACTGGTCACTATGACACACACTGACCACCAGGGGGCAGACGCTCAATGCAGGA